ACGCTCTTCCGATCTCCCCAAAACCCCAAAACCCCATGAAGATAAAAATCATAATGTTCAGGAAATTAGTAAAATAGATCAATTAAAATTAATATTAATTAGTCAGTGTCCATTAAATACCAATAAAATTATAGAAAAGTTAAATATTTTAAAAATGTTAAATTCCAAAAATTGTTCAATAACAGGACGCTACATTTTCTCTACTAAAGAATTACTACTTTGCTTGATTTATAGGTAAAATATAATCTATTTATTTAAAATTACATATTAGTTTACTGTTGAATATTTGCCATGGATATTAATGCTTTTCAAATCCCTATCCGAGGATTCAGAATTCATCGTTATACGATATATAGATTAATGATTTGGAATGGTTTAATGATTTCACACTAATTCTTTGTGGATCAATAAAAGATAGAACAACTCAAGTGTATAGACCTGCAGTTTTTTATCAAAATTCATATACAGGAAGTATAGATTATATGCAAGTGCTTAAAAAAGTAGGGGGAGGAACTACTAATTCTACTTCACTAGTAATGTGTAGATTTTGGGCCAACTATCTTCCAATGTTTAATGGATCTACATTCGTTTCACTAAGTGACAAAGAATAGTTGATATTGATTTTTAGCAGTGGCACTTATGTTGTCAAAGTCTACAAGAAGGTGAATTAGGCACATTTAATAACTAATGATCATTTGGAGAAATTCGAAGATAATAAAATTTTGTTTAGTTATAAGAAGTCTGCTGATGATCAAGGACTGCTTATTGTAAACTTTTAAGATGACTCTTTCAAGTACATAAAAGTTAGTTTAGGATCTAGTATTTTGTCATTTTTAGATATTGGGGCTTTAAGAACTGGAATTGTTTATGGAATAGCTAATGTATACATCGATGGGATAACTAGATTAGGATTTGTAGCATTAAATATAACAACTTTGACTGCTTAATACGCTTTTTACTCAAGAAATAATTCATTTATAAATGCAACAATTACTAAAGGTAACTGGGGAACAACACTTTATAACTTCTTCTACTGTAAAGATTTATATAAAAATGAAGTTAAAACAGTAGATATTTAGTTTTTCTAGTTATCCCCTACAATTACCAACGGACTAATTAACACATCAAAATAGAATGTAATATATTCATCATTCTTTGATAATCACTACTGCAGAGCAATTCAACTTATCAGTTCATCCAATTTTTATGTGCAACTGCAACACAAAAGCTCATTATCAGATCCATATGATGCAGTACTATATTTTAACACTTCTAGCCCAATCGCTTTTACCTATTACAAAATATAAAATCCTGATTCAACAAAAAGTGCATACTAAATCTTCTCCATTACAAGGATGAAAATTATTTGGTTTGATATGTAATACTTTGTTGGATCCCTTTATGACAAAAATACTTAATAATATGCAGGCGCTGTATTTGGTTTACCAACATCTAAATATAATTGCTTTGATTTTCCTTCCAATGCATTTACAATATAATATGCCAAGGATTTTGAAATTACACCATTTACTGGTTTGAGTTTGACAGAAACTGCAGAAACTATTTATCAAAGTGATACAGCTAGCTATCAAAACTCATCAACCAATTTATACCTTAGAACTGATTTGAAGACATACTGTACTAGTGCAACTACTTATTATGATATTACTTATTCAGTTTCACCTTCAATTCCTTAGTCATCGTTCACTTACTTTGTTGGTCAAGGTGATATGATTTTCTATACTTAAAATTATACAGTCAACAGTAAATCTTGTGCTGATAATACATGGACTTTATCAGCTACTCTTAAAGATGGTTCAGCTCTACCAGCTTTCTTTACATATGGAAGTTACTCTAAAAATGCTTTCAATATTTCTACAAAATCATCATCAAATGTCGGACTTTACACAGTGACTTTGAATTTTTACTAATATTTTGGTCCATTAACAACATTTGACATAACAATAGAAATTAAAGTAAATACCTAGCCCCCAAAATTTAACTCAGACTTAGCTGATTAAGTGGTAGTTGTTCCTTAAACCTTGACTTATTTGTTTCCTTCTGTCACTGATTTAGATGGTAATTCATGGTATCTTTAATTTGTAGCAGCATTACCATCATTTGTTACTTTTACAAATTCATCAAGTGGTTTGTCAGTTTACATAGCTCCGATTGATAATTTACTATCAGGTACATACACTATAAATCTTAAATTAAGAGATTTTTCTTTGTATTAAGAATATTCTTTCAAAATTGTTGTTATAAAGAGCACCGGAGGCCCAAAATTTGCATCAAGTCTAGTAGATCAATCAATTTATGTCGGTTAAACAAAAACCTACTAATTACCCACTATAGTAGATACTGATGGAGATGTTACCTAACTTGCATTAATGACTAGTCTTCCTTCATTCATAGTATTTGATTCTTCTACAAATATATTTACACTTAATCCTATCTTGGTATCTCAAGTTGGCACATAAAATATTTAAATAAAGTTATCGGATACCTATATAGATAATACGGATAACTATCTGAAAATCATCATAAAGGAGAATACTTCACCTCCCCAATTCGATTAAAATTTAGCAGATTAAACAGCTTATATCAATTAATTAAAACAATACTAACTTCCTTCATATTCAGATGTAGATGGAAATGACTGTACTTTCACCTTAGATTTAACTTCCTTGCCAAACTTTGTGACATTTGATGATGCTACCAAAACTTTTTCTATAAATATCACTAGCTCTAGCTAGCATGGAACATATACTATCTCGATGGCACTTTCAGATTTTTCATTGAGTAATACAAAATCCTTCAGAATAATTGCCATTGCAAACTTGAATTCTCCTACTTTTCTTTATGACTTAAAAGATCAATATGCTTGCATATCATGTAATAATCCTACATTTTAACTTCCACTCTACTCTGATCTAGATAATGAAGATATCATTACACTAACAATTTCCAATGATATTCCAAGCTTTGTCACATATACTACTATTTCAAATATTTATACATTTGCTTTTAATCCAGCAAGTAATTAAGATGTGGGTACTTTTACAATAAGTATGATATTATCAGATCAAGTTCATCAGCAGGCCTATTCATTTAGGCTTTATGTGAAGATTAATTCAAAAGCCCCTGATTTTGTAATAACTCTTCTAGACTATTAGATATTTGTGAATCAAATTTATTTAATAAACTTACCTGCCATAGCTGATATAGATGGTGATGATTGCTATTTAAAACTAATTAGCACACTTCCTAGTTTTATAGTTTTTTCTACTACAGAAAATAAATTTACTGTGAATCCAAATAATAATATTGCTTTTAAAGGAACATATACAATTTAGCTAAGGCTATCAGATTATTACTATTCGGCAGATAAAAGTTTCAAGATAAATGTTATACAGAGCTCAGGTGCGCCAATTTTCGAGTAGAGTCTATAAACTTAATTAGTTTGGCCAGGCTAATCTTCAACCTATACTTTACCTTCATTTACTGATCCAGAGAGTGATGCAGTATAACTTCAACTATTATCTTAACTTCCAGGTTTTGTCAATTTTAATAGTGCTACTTAACAATTTTCCCTGAATCCTAGCGCTATCGCTTCTCCTGGAGATTATAATATTTAAATAAAACTTTCTGATGGCAATAATTTCAATTTTTACTCTTTCATAATTAAAATTCCGACAACAACAGTTGAAAGTCCAGCTCCTATTGAATTAAAATCATCAAGCGATCTAATTTCTAAAAAATAGGAAAATCAGAAAGTAGAATAAACTTTAGTGACTAAGAATACTGCACCTTACATCAATACTGATATATTTTCTCTTTCTCCAATCAATTTGAGTGTTAATGAAAAATATCAAAATGTTTTATTTCTTGCAAAAGATGATTAAAATGATTAACTTGATATCACTGTAGCATTTACTAAGATATCAGACAGTAAACTTGATTCCAGTATATTTAATTACGACAAAGCAAGTAATATTGTAACAATTTATCCGATTTCAAATACTTAAGCTGGTATATATCACATATATATTAAAATTCAGGAATCTGTAACTAAAGATTTATTTGTGGTTAGTTATTCAGTAAATGTAACAATCACCTAGATTTAAATAAATAATGCAACAACTTCATCTAACACCACTAATATAACTATTATCTCTAATATTTCTAATACAAGCAATTAGGATGATTAATTATCACTAGGAGGCTCCACTAATGGTAACGGTAATGGAAAAAAAAGTAATGTTTAAAAAAGTTTAACAGCTTAAATAAAGGCAATTAATTCTGATGGATAGATTAAAGTGTAATTTAATCAAAAGATAGTGATACCAAGCACAACTAAAACTAACATGAAATTAATGAGATATATAGATGTTACAATTTATGGTTCTAAGACGACCTATAATTTCACTTGGAATGTTACCTCGATTAATGATATTTCTATTACTTTCTAACTTTAATTTCTAGATTAGGTGGAAAGAAGCTAAATTGGCTTAACTAAAGTAAAAGAAAAAGCAAAGATTGAATTTAAAAATAGAAGAATATTCATAGCAAAAGCAAGTTCATCTACTTATCTCACTACTTATGATTTAACTGACATTCTTGTTCCCATTAATGATGATAGTGCTTGTAAGTAATTTTTTTGTTTAATATTTATCAATTATATAATAGAAATCCTAGTATAAAGCTAAGCAGTATAACAGACTGTTATGGCTGCAACTTATACAGCTACTATCATTACAGTCGTTCTTAACGTAATTTTGTAAATATTATATAGCGAACTAACTGTATTTTTAGGGGTGGTACATTATCAATGCTCTTTCAGTTGATAAATGCTTTGCAATTAATTCTGATGATGCCACTTAACAATTTCACTATTCCCTCATTTTTATCTGATTTCTTCTCTGCATTTAGGTACTATCCACACTCGTATAATAATTTATTAGTTCATTTAACTTTCAATTATTTGATAGTTCCTCTTTCATAACAAATTTACTTGGAGATTTGCCTGTAACATCAAATTCTCAAGGTTAAAATTTTGAAGATTAAGGAATATCAACATCTAATATGATTATAAACATATTTGATAATTTCATACTGATAGCTTAGGGGATAAATCTATATGCAATTTCTTACTTGATATCCAAATTTGTAAAAATCTAAAAGTAAGTTTCTACCCATCATTAATTATTTAGAATTAAGAAATACTTTTAGGGTATTAGGGATGGATTTAAATACAATGCAATTTTAAGGTATTTAATAGAATCACATATGATTGTTGTTATTAACTCCATCATCAACATCTAAGATTGGAACTTGGAGAACACGAGTGAAACAATTTCAAGCATAATATCTGTTACATTGTTTGTGATTTACTCTGCATTTCCTATTGGATCAACAATATTTATTATAAAAAACTTTAAGAAGATTAAGAAGGAAGATAAAAAAATGATGAAACACTATGGGAGCTTGCTTGATGAGTTTAGAAATGATAGTCTACCATCACTATTATTCTACCCAATATTTATGCTAAGAAGGTTTCTTACATCAATGGCTATCCTACAGTGTAGCAACTAGCCTCTCATTTAGAGCATGATCCACACTTATTCCTCTTTTATGGTAATTTTCTTTATGATTAATTAACTTTAGTTTGCAATGTATATTTTATTGATAAGACCATTCAAAGAACACACTTAAAATGTTATTGAACTAGTTAATTAGTGTTCAATTTTTCTGATATATATGTAGACTATAGCATTTACGAGTGTCGTTGAAGATTCTTAAGTCAGGAATAATGCTGGTAGATTATTTTAGATTTTAAATTTTATAGGATGGGGCATTATTGGAGTTGTCTCATTTATGTGTAGTATAAATGTGGGCTTTATTATAAAAGACAAAATTTTGACAATAAAAGAATACTTAAAGAAGCCAAATAATATTTTTGCGAAAATCAAGAGGATTTTTACCAAGCATGCAAAAATAAATAAATCATAATTGGAAAAGTAATCAGCAATTTAAAGATGATAAATAGTCAGACAGATCATTTATTTCAATCAATAGTGAGCATCATATGAACAACTTAAGTCTAAGGACTCAAACTTACAACGATGAGATAATGAATTATAGCGAGAATGTATTATAAGAAGGAGATAACGGAGAAGAAGTTATAAGAGTGTAGAGCTTTATAGAAGATGATTTAATCTAGAAATAGACATCTCGTAATATAAATGCAGAAACTGATGCTAAATGAATGGATGCTAATCAAATATATTGGAATAATAAGGAATTTCATTTCAAATATTAAAATAAGATAAAAATTATTTAAGAATTGCTTTTGATTATAGATTCATATTGTTGTTATTCATGTAATTAATTGATCTCTTGGGGTTTTGGGGTTTTGGGG